AAAAAAAATAAAATAAAATGGGATCCACGCGGCCACGTCCCCGTCGTGATCCTGGGTAATGCTAAGGGCCACGATCCTGGTTTCTTACTCTTATTAAGGGTAGGTTTTCCCTCACCCCCTTATAGAATTGAAGGGTTGATCAGTCTAATTTGTTAATATTAATTAATTTGACGATAAATGAAACTGTTTACCATTATTTCGGGATAAATTTAAATGTTACGTAAGAAATTCGATAAAAGGGTGGTCACCCTTAAATCCTCAAACAGTCTCACTTTTGTTTTGGATGCGAGTGTAACATATATTTTTTTCAAAATTTTTGAATAAAATTTGCAATTATCTGGGCATTTTTTTTAATTTTTGTTTCAAATACAGGGGGTGGTTTACCCCTTAAAAATGATCGAACCGAGTCGAAAATTTTTCATTTTTCATATCTCTTGATGATGCAACTATTTTATTTGGTTCGGGCCGAAAATACTAAATCCATACATACAAAACAATTAAATCGATACCCATAAATCCAAAGGGGTGTAAATATGGTTTTCCGCCGATAAAAAAAAATACGTATGTCTTATTTTTACGTCTACTACAACATATTCAAAAATTATCAAAATCGGTGATTTACATTTGGGTAGTGTTACTTGTAAGTGTGGAAGATTGATTCGCCGCGTACGATGATCGAAGAAATTTCGATACGTGCATTTAACATGCTGGACATATTATCCTTTCACTATCATATTAATATCAAAAAGTAGTATTAATATCTAATAGCACTAAGATATCCGTGCTTGCTCCTTATATGCCATTTTTCAAATCTTACTGTTAATTCAAAAAGAATTCAAAAAGAATTCAGTCACATGTCATCAATTCTAAGTTTATTTTCAGGTGCAAAAAAGTTCTTCAAAGTTCAGTTTAATGAAAAGAATTCTTTTCGCATGTAAAAATAAACTTAAAATTGGTGACATACTACTGAATTCTTTTTGAATTCTCTGTACTATCTGGCAGGCTCTTACATGCCCCTATAATTTGTCGCTTATTTCTCAATAAAAGTACAAAAAATATTAATATCATTCAAAAAGCATTAACTTTTCCACACTTGATTTCGTTGCAATTAACGGTTTATATTAATGCGATTAATACCGATCCTATCAGAAAAAGTGCGTGTTACCGAAAATCTCGAATGTATCGAAACTTGAAGCCTCTTTTCCGCAATGCTAATTGGCTGTTTCGACCATCTCAATTGATTAGATTCGTGCTGCTTGTAGCTGTCAGATGGTGACAGATCAGGTTGTGTTATGATCTGTCAAAGAGACGTTGATCTATCGTACTTATGTGTGTGTAAGAAAAGATTTGTGCGTCCTAGAAGAAGTATAAATATAAATAAAGGAAAAAATATAAATAAATATAAATAAAAGGAAAAAAAGGAAAAGAGTAAAATCTTTATAGGTAGGTTTATATATTTCTATGTATAATATAATGTAATTTATTAATTAATAAAATAATAAATAATTAATAATTATTAATAAATTGTTATTATTATTATTATTATTAATTAATAATTAATAATTTATTGATTATTATATATAATATAACCTCATATATAATCGCGGTGTTTTTACTAATACCAATATTATCGTCTATCAGTCTACTGTCACACAGCCCGTGATAAGGCGCCATTGTACAGAGCCGACGGTTACAAGACAGCGGCAGCAGAACGTACTTATGAGCGTCGCATATATGAGCGACGCTCATCATCATTATTCGCACACGTCTTACATTCGAAAAATATAACATATTTGTGGTAAGTAATCTATCTCTTTCTAATGACGCGTGGCAGTAGAAATAAGCTATTGGTAAAGAACGATAAAGCATAAGTATATTCGTAATAATAATTAAAGTTATATTAAAAGTTATATTTTTCTGCCTCGTATCTACCGTTGCTTTCGGACGCACGTCATGATCAATTTCTGTTGCGTTTCTGCTGTTACGTTCGAGCGGCACGTCGTGATCGATTTCTGCTGCGTTTCTATCTTCACGTTCGAAAGCACGTCATGATCGATTTCTGCCGTATTTCTGTCGTTAGTACATGTAGCACATTGTATATATGTCTTCATTGTACATATATCTTCTATATTTCTTTCAGTAACAAAACAAGGACGGAGCACGATCACATTGCTAAAGTTAAGGGGGAAGTCTACTGTGACAAGGGAAAAAACAGGCCTATTTTCCGGATTTTTTTTCTAACAAAATATGACTCGTACATTAAATTAAATTAAACCGTCATCTTTATTATATATTCAAGTATTTGTAAAAAAATTTTCAAGTCGAAATATTCAAAATTGCCGTCGTGGCACTCCTTCAAGCGCAGGTCCGTTTTTTTTAGGTGCCCAAACGGTGTACATGAAATCTCACGTCTGGGTGATCTGAAACAAAAAACAAAATATGGTTATCATCTACATAGTATTGACTCTCGTCTGACGGAGGATTTTGTCGATAAAAAATTTTGGCGCCGAAAAAAAATTCTTGAAATTTTTTTCTATTTTTTTGCCCAAATTTGATGTTATTATTGTTTATAACAATTAAACAAAAAACGATATCAAAAAAATGCTCCGTCAGACGAGAGACACTATTCCAGAGAATATGTGGTTAAAATTTCAAGTCGATTCATTCATTAGAACTCGAGATATCGTGTACACCGTATTGAAAAACTTAGTTTCGAGAAAAACGCGTTTAAAGTTTCGGCATTAGTTTTTTCAATGAAAAAATCATTTTTAAGCTTCTTACCATTAATCGCCCATTCCTGCTTCATATAGTACACCTTCTTGTTCAAGGAAATCCTCTTCGAGTGCCGATCGCGCCGTTCTTCTCTCGATTCTCCCTTCTTTTGAAGCGTCGAACGACCGTTCGTTTGCTTGTGATATTCTGCGCTCGTCCACGGTGTTGCATAAATTGAAGGCGTTTGGTCCAATTTTGATGTTCATAACGTCCATCATTTTGAGGATACTGGAGTAGCCTTTATTGAAAATGCTCGCAGCACAATACGACGCAATATCGACGGTTTTTGCGCCGCTGAATGTTTGTTTCGGAGCTAACGACCAGATCATCGCATTCAGGCTCTCGTTGCTGTTCTGTGTATATCCTCAGCGTTTGAAACAAGAATAAAAATTCAATCAAACGGTATCCATAGCCATTATTAATTTCCACTTCCACCGATTTCGTTCTTAATTTTTTCGCGGAAGAACTTGTCGATTCCGTTTCATTCTCCATCGTATGGCGATTTGGTGGCGACGGTCTTTTCCTACGTCGTGAAGGTCGTCCGGGAGTTTCGCGTGAACCCTTTCGGTCGAAAGAAGCAGGCTTCATTTTGATAAAAGTATAAAAACTATACGTTAGCCACGCGGGAAACGCCGAAACGATCACAGCTGTTCGACACACTGGCCCTTAAAATTACGCACTACCGGCGTCCTTACTGTTGAAATCGCTTCTAACTGACTATAAAATATACCTAGTGACATCTGTTGATCGACTTGGAGTATTAGAAATGTTAGAAATTGAATTGCAAGTCACTACGCTGTACCTGCCGAACAGATAGGAATTTGCCGCAGGTACGCGTTTCGGAGCGCTTCGGTAAAAGGTCGAAATTTCAATGAAGAAAAATTTAGCCGGCTATAACACCTAATGTACCTTATTTTAGAGGGTTCAAAGTATTTTTTAAGCCAATAAACAAAAAATTGATTTTTTGAAAATTTTACAGTAGACTTCCCCCTTAAGGAAGTTAAGGAAGGGAGAGAGGGAGAGAGAGAGAGAGAGAGAGAGAGAAGACAAAAAAGGGAGGAGAAAGGAAAGACAAAACGTAAGCAAATTAATAAGCAATTTTGTATAATTGTTATAAATTACAATAGATTACCTTTTGATTAAATCGATTATTTCTTAAATGAATGGAAATTTTCTATAAAAGATCTTTTCCCAATTTTGATATTTTTTATAGCAGTCTTGATAATTACCTGTGCTGTTACTTTAGTTCATTGGTAATTAACAAAATATTTTTATCAAAATAAACATTTGAATTCTTGTTTAAATTGAAATCCAGATTTTGAATTTGTGCGATTGGGTTTTTAAATCGTATTTCAAAGATAATAACTGCTTATCTTTGAAATACGATTTAAAAACCCAATTACACAAGTTCAAGACTATAAGTTTCATGTACAAATAAAATAAATTGTACGAAAACATACATGAAACATCAAACAAAATAAATTTTGAATGTTACCTGCACGGAAAAAAATTATTTCAAGACTGCAGTTAATCGGGGATTAGCTGAAAATATGTTGTAGCAACTAAAACTTTGGTGTTGTTAATTATTTAGCTGCCATAAGTCACCCTAATAGCCAAGAATATCCAAAGCATATCTTGACAAACGTGCAGTATAAATATCTTGCAGCACTTTTTGTCGATAGAATGCCATCAGAATTGACACAGGATCTGTTTTATCAAATCTTGCTGCTAAACTATATCTCTCGAGATACGTATTATACGAGTTTTGAACTGCACATCCTTGGCAAAAACATACACATATTGTAAATTTACAATGTGAATTTTCATCAAAGAAGCTACAAATAAATAATTATAAGGTACCTATATTGCGAGCTTATATATCAGTAATTAATATGCTGTAGTAAAGGAACATATATTCCGGTTTTTAAACATACTTCCGTCCTGAGCTTTGGATACATTATGTGCATTTTTTGCTAAGAAGGTACAGCTCAAAAATCTTAAAGTACGTATTTCGAGAGTTCCTAAATCGTAGAAAAATATACGGTGTGAAAGAAAAATGTATTCCGACTTTTAAGCTGTTGAGTAACTTGTAGCAAATTTGCAGCAAAAACTGCGTAAGTCTTGCAACACATCAAGATTTACTCGATCTCTGGCGCCAATTTGTCAAAAGGCTGCAGGCTCTGTGCGGTTTTTACTACAAATCTGCAGCAACTTGTTTAACAGTAGGCTTTGTCGCATATCTGATGGCAATTTGGCAGCAAGATTTTTAACTGAATTTGTATAAATTTGTTACTTATTTGGAATAAAAATCTAGCAATAAAGTTTGTTTATGAGATTTACTTGTTCAGGTTTGGTTATCTGGGTATATGTTTATCGTAGTTAAACGTTTAAGTATTCATATATTAGGACATTCATGCCTCACTACGATAGAATATAGGGATAGGTGTAGAACATATCGAGGTGAATAAAACAATCCTGTACTGTTTCTCGATATCTTTTATAATTAATGAGTTATTCGAAGGTAAAGATATCAAGTATTAAGCATATAGGCGACATATGCGGAGGCGCACATCAATTGTCGCTTAATGCTTAAAACCTGATATCTTTACCATCGAATAACTCGTTAATTATAACAGATATCGAGAAACAGTATGAGTCTTTTTTATTCACTTTGATATGTTCTACGTCCCTATCGCGTAGTGAGACATGGATATTCTGAGACATTCTGTGTATTAGCTGTGGTAGCTATACCGTTAGCAACTGCAGCAGATGTTTAGCTGCAGTAGTAATATATTTTCAGCTAATTCACGATTAGCTGCGATCGTGAAATCGTTTTTTTCCGTGTATAAACGGCCTGAAAATAAAAATAAAACAATTAATATCATAACAAAATCATAACAAAATTATAATCATTTGTGAAAGGTTTTATGAGTAATATGTAATATTCAAATTGACCAAAATTAAATTATACATTCATTAGAAATAGGTGTGTTTGAATATACAGGTTTCGCCAAAAGTCCCGAGAATCCTGATTTTTTTAAAGAGGATTTTTAACATCTTATAAAAAATTGACTTTTACAAAAGTTTTAGTATTTTGAATATTTTTTTGAACGTGATGGTAACCTTGAACTTTATCTTGGGATCGACTTTCAAGGCTATTTGAAAATCAACTTAAAATTTCTTCAAATGAATTCTAAAATGGGATTTAAAAAACCTTAACACGATGTGTTTTAAGTCAATGAGATATTTGATCTTCAAGTGACTTTTAAAAGTTACTTTCATCTCTAACTTGATAACGTATCTTGATCGAACAGGAAATTTTACACTTTTTCCGAATCCTGGATCAAAAACAGGGGTTCCCATTACAAAATTTTCAAGTTGACCTTCAAATGACCTTAAAAGTAAATCTCAAGGTCAAATTCAAGGTTTAAAGTTACAATCACGTTCAATATTCAAAATGCTGAAACTTTTGTAGGAGTCATTTTTCTATCCGACGTTTTTTCCTTCGAAAAAATCAGGGATGTCGGGACTTTTGGCGAACTCTGTACAGTAATGCAATATTGCATGCAGAATTACATTAATGATACGTGTTACCTTGTATAGGGATCTCACTAATCTTTTCAGTATTTATTATTTTTGTATATTGTAGACTTATCTATTTAGAAAGGTGAAGATGTAATGGACACGAGCACAGATATGCTTAGACAATGCTTTGCTAAGATACTGTTTTGAAGCTCTAATCTTTTTTGTGAATATGCGACGATCAAAACGAGTTAGACGAGTTAAACATTAAACGAGTTAATTAAAAGTTTTAAATAACATAACGTGATTACAAGATCAGTAACTTACTCAGTGCGAAAATCTGTTATGTAAAGTTTAACAATCACATAAATTGAAACAAATATGCCACACGGAGAAACTTCGATAATTTACGTTGGAAAACAATAGTTAAAAACATAGATTAAATTTCATAGGTTAAATTGCATATTTTCGGACTCCCTACTTTACTGTGATTACTGTTGTAGTAACAATAAAAATATTTATTAAGACTGCTGCAAAGAAATATCAGAATTCGGCAAAAACTCTATTGTAAAAAATTACCGAATGTCTTGTACACATACTTATTAACGCTTCTTATTTTTATTTCAGGAACATAGCGACATATATGAAGACAAGCTAATTTCAAATTATAGTGAATTAGTATTTATCAAAAAAATGTAATTTATTGTAATCCGTTGTTTGTAAATTGTAATAATTAGTTAAATTGTATTGAGTAATTCAATTTGTGTTTATTGGTGTTAATTGGTTTCTATTAATGCAAGACAATTATATGATGATGATACTGATGTTGATGATGATAATAATGATGATGTAATGATGATAATGATAATGATGATGATAATGATGATGATAATGATGATGATAATGACGATGATAGTGATGATGATAGTGATGATGATAATGATGATGAAGATGATTAAATTGATATTTATATAATATTAATACTAATAATAATTAATTAAAGTATAATATATTTAAGTATAATTATATTTAAATAAAGAAAAATAATTATATTTTTTTAACTAATTTATTTTAAAAACCAATTCAGCTTAAATAAAATAATTTTTTCAACGAGTCTTTAACTTTTTTAAAAACGCAGGCAGATTTATTGTGACTCGGACACAAAAATATTGTTCTTTTAATGATAGTATTCTGTTTCATTATTTATATAAAATGCTGAGACGCAAAATTCAACGTACCCCAGAGGAGGAAGAAGAATTTAGACGACATTGTTTTGAGAGAAGAAGAGAAAATCAACGACAACGTCGCCAAATAGAATCACAATATCAACAAATGATTTCTGTTGCTGGTACTTCACGTGAAAATTATGTTATATAATTGAGTGATAAAGTTGTTCAAAACACTTCATATAATCCATTAAATCAACGACGTGCAATACAGACCAATTATCGATCACGTATAAGGAAACAATCTTGTGTAGATATTAACAACACATTATGTGATAATGTAGTTGAATATTATATCGGTTCTATGGACGTTTCCTGTGTCCATTGTAATGCGAAACATTTTGCAGATGAACAAGTTATTAATAGAAGAAATTCGTTTCATGATTGCTGCAATCACGGTGCGATTAATCTCCAACCAATGCCTGAATTACCTCAATTTTTACGTTCATTATATGATGGAAGTCATGTAAAGTCAAATCGTTTTTTTGATCATATTCGTAGTTTTAATAGTTCATTTTCTTTTGCGTCATTTAACGCAAATTTAGTTAATATGCAAGGAAGACGTCCTGGTCCATATTGTTTTAAAATACAAGGTCAAATTTATTATCAAATTAACACAGCGTTACATGCTGCACAGAATGAAACTCCGACTTATGGACAACTATTTATTGTTGATTCAAATGAAGCAGTAGAATATCGTATTACTAGAAATTCGTGTTTAGATTTTGAGATAGTAACAAATCTTGAAAGTTTATTGCAAGAATGTAATATATTTGCTCAATCATATCTAATGATGGATGAAGAAATACAAAATCAACAACGAGCTGAAATAAATTGCAGTGAACCAATAGCTGAATTACAATTAGTATTCGCATTAAAACCAGGGATGGATAGACGTAATGTTCAAAGAACAAATGAAACAGCCGCGGTTTTTAAAACGACTTCTGAATGAAGAATTCCGGATTCTTATGTCACAATACGTAATCGTAACACTAAAAGCTTACAACAGGTTAGTACTATGGATCCAAATATAGAACCTTGGATATATCCATTATTTTATCCATATGGAACTAGAGGATGGGATCGTAATTTAATGAAATTACTAGAAGAATAACTAGAAGACAATATATTAAGTATCGTATGGCCATTCAAAATGAATTTAATGTTTTTTTATTATGCCGTCGTTTATTTCAACAATGGCTTGTAGATAATTACGTAAAAATTGAAAAGGATAGAATAAATTATTGTAAAACGCATAAAAAAAAATTACGTGTTGAAACATATAAGGGTTTAGTAGATTATATGGAAGATAGAGCAAATAATATAAATGACCGTGTTGGAAAAATAATTATACTTCCTTCCACATTTATCGGATCACCACGTAATATAATGCAAAATTATCAAGATGCGATGGCAATTGTTAGTAAATTTGGTAAACCAGACCTTTTTATTACAATGACATATAATCCGAAATGGCGTGAGATTGAAGAAAATCTTCTTCCTGGTCAACAAGCCTCTGACTGACCTGATATATGTGCTCGAGTTTTTAATATTAAGAAAGATTATTTAATCGATTTAATTGTTAAGCAAAACTTTTTCGGTGAGATAGCAGCGTTTGTTTACGTTATTGAATTTCAAAAAGTGGCTTGCCTCATGTTAATTACGCTAAAGCATAATTTTAAAATGACAACTCCACACGTTGTAGATAAGTATATTTCTGCTGAAATTCCTGACCCAAATGATAATCGTGTATTACATGATATAGTTATGAAACATATGATACATGGACCTTGTGGTGATTGGTGTTTAGTTAATGGAAAATGTTCAAAACATTATCCAAAACCATTTATGGAAGAAACTAGAATGGATGAAGATACGTATCCTTATTATCGTAGACGGGATGTTGATAAAACTTTTGAACGTCCTGGTGGATATATAGTTGATAATCGTCATGTTGTACTATATTGTCCTATATTATCACTTATATTTAATAGTCATATAAAT